AAGCACCCAGGGCCATCCCTGGGCCAGGATGAGGCACCTGAAAAGTTATTTGTAGATACATTATGTTTTATCATTTGTGTCAATTCAGAAGATCCATAATGAAACATGTTTTTTACTTCTCCAGAGAGAGATTGTACACTAGAGGTGTGGAATGAAAAGTATATTTTTAGACATGACCAATATGTTGATTTATTTTTGTTTGATTGTGTTTATTTGTTACAAGGGAGAGTTCTTTGTCAGGGTAGGGAAGAGTCTTTAGAAAGTCATTGTTATATTAAAAAGGAAAGTAATTTGGTATCTAATATTACCAGTTTGTTGGACGGGGCATTTTAAACAAAGATATGCTAACAAAGATGGAAGATGTGAAGAGCTAGGTCTTTAACTTCTATCCCATTATGCCAAACTCAGCTTAGGGGCTATGAAGGGATCAAGAAAAATTGGCTTGAGGTTCAAGTGATAGCTCTTAGATCTTTGTCCTAAGCTACAGACCATAAATAAATTATGTCAAATTACTGTAATTAAGCTAAGCTACCCAGAAAATCCATTACTTGGCTAGAAATTCAAGGCAACAAAGTTATAATACCAGAAACTATGTCAGCCACCCTACCACCCACATATCTGTAATCCATGTTACAGAACTAATCATTAGCTTTTCTTTAACAAAAGTGTTTGCTACCTCTCCTTTACAATTTTTCTTTCTTTTACTAAGCAACTTGGGGAGTATATAGTATCCTGAAATCACTTTATCTTGTGTAGACTTTCCAGCAAAATTCTGTGTTTGAAATCAAGGCATAACCCACTGCTAGGCTGTAGGGGCACAGAGAGTTAAATAAAATATACAGTACTCACAATCCTACTCTTTTGTGCTCAGTATACTTCTCAGTGGTTTCTGGAGTACTATTTTCTAGTTTTTAGGTCTCTCCATTCTGTGCTTATCTGTTGTCTTTCCACTGTCACTTTGCTTACCATTCTATACCAGATTCTTTCTTTCTCTTAGGTTGATCTTAATCTCTCAGGTGGTTTTACCCTCCTGTAGGAAATTGAAGCAAAATGGTAATAGAAACTTATACATAAAGCACTTCAATCTGCAAATTGCTTTCCCTACAAAAACTTTGTGAGGTATATAGATAATATAAATGTTATCTTACCCACTTTTAAAAGTAAAATTTTATTGATATCTTTAGTTACATCTGTGAAATTTCTCCCAGTGTTGTCCCTCTGTTACCTATAACAATGAATATTCTTCAAAGAAAAAAAGGAAAAGAGGAAGAAGAGAAAAAAGTCAGCAAAATGATAAATACACTGAAAAGGTCTGAAAACAGATGCGATGATTCATACCTGTGCACTTCCTTACCTCTGCAAAGTCTTTGGTGGTGGTGAATGAGGTGGGAGGGGTGGGGGATGCATGTGGAAAGGTATCTTCTCACACTTCTTCTTGGGGGCCATGAATATTCTTTATAATTCTGCAACATTCACTTTCAGTTGTTTTGATCCACTTTCAATGACTGTTCTTTCAATTAAAGTCATGTTGAATAGTTTCCTTGGCTCTGCTGACTTTGCTCTGCAGGAGATATGCCTGTTTTTTGAATAAGGAAGCTGATGTTCTGAGAGGTCTAACTTGCTAAGGTGGTACACCTAGCAAGTTTTTGTGTGAAGATTTCAACCCAAGTCTCCTTTCTCCAAATCAGAATTCCTTTGCTCTGCCACACTGATTTCATTCAGTACCTTGCAGTTTACTTCTGATTGGCCCAGTGTAAGATTTTATGTCTTTTTGAAAGTATATCTACTAGGGAGATGTCTTTCATAACCAGTACTGTTTCAGATAAACCAAAATTTCTCTTTGCTTAATTTAACCTGAGCTGTTTGGTTGACTGTACTAAATTATAGACTTTTTTTTTTAAAGTGACATTTGTTATAGTCTTGGATAGCCATGTTTCTTACTGGTTGTTATCTTTTGTACTTTAAGTAGGGAAAGGTATTGCCTATGTAGTGTTAATTTCCTCTGATTATATGCTATCATAATTCTTATTTCCTTTTTATTTATGGTTTTATAAGTCAACCAACATTTTTGGTTTGGCATTTTGCTTCTTTTATGGGTGGGTTTGGGGAGAGGCAGAAGTTGATTTCCCCCCACCCCTTCCCATTTTGTAGGGGAAACAACATTTGCAAGGAATGCCTAAAATTAACTAACATGAAAAATTCAAATTTTCAGTCTTTTGAGTCAAGAAGAAAGTAAAAATTCAGATAAAGAAAGGGCAGAACTAGGCACAACGAGTAGAAGTTGTAGAAAGGCACATTTTGAGTCAGTGTAAAGAAAAACTTCTGAACAATTAGGCAAATAGTATTGTATCATTTGTGGTCTTCAGGCAGATACTTGATGGCCATTTGTTGGAGAGGAAGAAGAGAGTTATACAGGCAGCTGTAGTTGAATAGGTACGGGCCAGATTTGATAACCTCAGAAGTCCATTACAACTCTAAGATTCTGGAATTCTATGAAAGAAACACATTTTTCTTTCTTTTTAAAAAATGTATTTCATTTATTTTGTTATATATTTTCCAATTATATTTGAAAAATTTTTAACATTTATTTTTAAAAATTTTGTTTCAAATTTTCTCCTTCCCTCTGTCCTTTCCTCTTTCCTTGAGAAGGCAAACAATATGGTATTGATTATACATGTGAATTCATGTAAAATATATTTCCACATTAGCCATGATGCAAAAGAAAACAAACAAAACACCAACAAAATTAAAAAATTGAAAAATTTATGCTTCAGTCTGCATTCAGAGTTATTCAGTTTTCTCTCTGGAGGTGGATAACATTTTTTGTCGTGGGTGCTTTGGAATTATCTTGATTAGAGTAGCTAAGTCTTTCCCAGTTGATCATTGTTACAATATTGCTGTTACTGTGTGCAATATTCTCTTGGTTCTGCTCACTTTTGCATCAGTTCGTATAAGTCTTCTCAGGTTTTTCTGAAACCACCCTGCATGTCATTTCTTATAGCACTATAGTAATTCCATCACAATCTTACATCACAGCTTGTTCAGCCATTCCCCAGTTGATGGGCATCCTTTCAATTCCCAGTTCTTTGCCACCAAAAAAGAGCTGCTATAAATATTTTAGTACATATAAATCCTTTTTCCTTTTCTTTGGTCTCTTTGGGATACAGACTTCATAGTGGTATTGATGGATCAAAGGGTATTCAGAGTTTCATAGCCCTTTGGACATAGTTCCAAATTGAAGAAAAATATTTTCCTTTTTCTTTTCTTTTTAAAATTTCTTCTTTTTCTTTTTTCTTTCTTTATTTTTAGTTTTTTAACTAAAAATTCATTCACTTCCACAAGATTTTGAGTTCTAAATTTTCTCTCTATCTCATCCCTCCCCCCCCACCCTAAGATGGCATGCATTCTGAATACCCCTTCCCCTAATCTGCCCTCCCTTCTATCTCTCCCTCCCTTTTCTTATTCCCTTCCCTTTCAATTTTCCTATAGGGCAGGATAGATTTTTATACCCCATTTCCTATATATCTTATTTCCCAATTGCATGCAAAACCAATTTTTTTAACATTTGTTTTTAAAACTTTGGGTTCCAAATTTTCTCCCTTCCTCCTTCTCTACCTACCCTCATTGAGAAGGCAAGCAACTCAATACAGGTTATACATGTGTAGTCATGCAAAACACTTCCATAGTAGTCATGTTGTAAAAAACTAGGTATATTTCATTTAATCCTGTCCTGCCCCCTATTTATTCTATTCTCCCTTTTGACCCTGTCCCTCCTTAGAAGTATTTGCTTCTGATTACCCCCTCCCCCAATCTGCTGTCCCCTCTATCATCCCCCTGCTCTCTTGTCCCCTTCCCCCCTATTTTCCTGTAGGGTAAGAGAAATTTCCATACCCAAATGAGTGTGTATGTTATTCCCTGTGTTTAAGCCAAATTTGATGAGAATAAGATTCACTCATTCCCCCTCAACTTCCCCCATTTCCCCTCCACTGTAAAAGCCTTCTTTTGTCTGTTTTATGTGAGATAATTTACCCCATTCTACCTCTCCCTTTCTCCTTCTCCCAATATAATCCTTTCTCAGCCCTTAATTTTATTCTCCAGATATCACCCCTTCATCTTCAACTCACCCTGTGCCATCTATCTATGTATCTATGTATCTATCTGTCTATCTATCTATATGCATACATATAATTTTTTCCCTCCAACTACCCTAATACTGATAAAGGTCTCATGAGTTACAAATATCATCTTTCCATGCAGGAATATAAACAGTTCAACCTTAATAAGTCCATTATGATTTCTCTTTCTTGTTTACACCTTCATGTTTCTCCTGAGTCTTGCATTTGAAAGTCAAATTTTCCATTCAGCTCTGTTCTTTTTATCAAGAATGCTTGAAAGTCCTCTATTTCACTGAATATCCATTTTCCCCCCTGAAGGATTATACTTAGTTTTGCTGGGTAGGTGATTCTTGTTTGTAATCTTATCTCCTTTGCCCTCCAGAATATTATATTCCAAGTCCTGCAGTCTCTTAATGTAGAAGCTGCTAAATCTTGTGTTATCCTGATTGTGTTTTCACAATACTTGAATTGTTTCTTTCTGGCTGCTTGCAATATTTTCTCCTTGATCTGGGTACTCTGGAATTTGGCTACAATGTTCCTAGGAGTTTTTCTTTGGGGATCTCTTTCAGGAGGTGATCAGTGGATTCTTTCAATTTCTATTTTGCCCTCTGGTTCTAAAATATCAGGGCAGTTTTCCTTGATAATTTCTTGAAAGATGATGTCTAGGATCTTTTTTTGATCATGGCTTTCAGATAGTTCAATAATTTTTAAATTATCTCTCCTGGATCTATTTTCCAGGTTAGTTTTTCCCAATGAGATATTTCTAAAAAATGTTTTGTGATAGTGGCCTTTGCTTCCATTATTTGGTAAAATTCCTAAGTCGTGTCTGTAATAAAAAAGAATGCCTAAGTGAGAGAAAAATAACCTATTCTTATTCTACTTCAGGAATGCATCTAAACAACAACCTGAACAGTTTGAAGTTTGGCAGTGACCACCATAGAATATCTTCCCATGCACAGACAGCCACAAAACAAGGGAAGCTGGATCTACCCTCCACAAGAACAGGAAATGACAAGATTGTTCTGCTTGTGTGTAATAGAGCATGCACTGGGCAACAGGGGAAAAGGTAAAACAGGTCTATTTCTTAATGAGTTATCCAATTTTAATTTTTTTTCAATTTCAATTTTTTTAAAAGAACTGTTGGTCTAAGTATGCTTCTATCTAACGTCACTGGGGAGATAAAGCTTGCTTGCTATGTATGCCAAGGTATGATCTATTTTGACACCTAGTATGACATAAGGCATATGTTTACATTTATATCGTGTGGAGACATATAATTCCAACCACAAAAGATCAATTAGAATCTTTTTTTTTTTGCATAGAAATATTTTTATTGTGAAGGTTGATCCTTGTCCTGTAGCTAATTCCTCTATTGTGAATTCCCATAACATTCTTCTCTCTTAAGGCACTTACTGTATTTAGTTTGTATTATAATTATTTGTATACATATCTTATGTCTTCTATTAGGTTGTAAGCTCCATAAGGGCAAAGATTGTGTCGTACTCCTTTTTATATCCCTCTGAATCTTCAGCAACCATACTTAGTCTTGCACATAAGTATTCCAGAAATTTTGAATTGGTTGGAAAGAGCCAATGGATAGCAATGGGCTCTCTAATGAGATAGTCTATCCCTGGATTTTGTCATTGACCTCGGTGTTATTATTTGTAGAATGAGGGGGACGTACTACATGATGTATGTATATATGTCCATTCCCAATATGATGTCTATGAGTTTCTCCTCAGCCCTTTATCCCTCACCCTTTGTATCAGTTATTTGCACCTACCATACCAAGCCCCTGCTGTCATGAATAGGAGTAGTCAATTAACTATATGTGATGGACTATTTGAACTGGGAGCTGGAAAGACCAAAAAAACTGTCTTAATTTACTTAGGGAGGGACAAGGTATGGTTATCCCTTAAGCATCACTGGATCCATCCTCTCTCTTCTAAATATGATCTAGAAAAAACAAAGGTGTTATTTATTATATGTTTCTTCTTGTTACCTTTTAGCTTGTACTCCTTGATTCAGCAGTCTCAAACTGAAGTAAATTATTTAAACTTTTTTTATGCCACTTTTCTATTTGTACTACTTTGATCAAAATCTTTTTTCTTCTTTTCTTCAGACCTACTCCTACAAACCTCTAGAACAGGGGTTCTTAAGTTTTTTTGTGTGTGTATGTGATAGATGGACCCCTTCTCAGAATAATGCTTTTAAATACATAACATAAAGTACAAAAGAAACCAGTTATTTTGAAATAAAGTTATAAAAAAATTTTTTAAAAAGCTTACTGATCCCATATTAACTCCTATTCTAGCCCTTAGCACCCCTCAGAAGGAAGAGAATTTACCTTTCCTATGGAATTAGATGTGTTATTATGACTTTCTGGTGACCATAGCTCTTTGGAGGATTCACATGTAAACATCTAGCTATGATTGACATTTGGGCTTAGGGCATGTCTTACTGAGCAGGTAGATAGTCTCTACTCTAAATTCAGTGAGCCCCTTTTTACCATGTTGTTCCTATTGATTCTGACTCCCTGGAATATGAACTTTGCTTTCCTTTTCTTCCTGTCTTAGCTGTTTTTCAAAGACGTTACCTCTTGTCTGCCCGATCCCACCATACTTAGTTCATCCTTCTAGCCCCATCTACTTCTCTGGTATTAAATCTTCTTGTCTGCCCAATTGCTTAACAAGGCAAACTTCTGGTCTTGGTCTTTCATTCCTGACCCTGTCTCTGCTTTCCCATGGCAGTCCAAAGGTACCATTCTGGACTATCAGTTGTTACGTGTAAACTAAAAATGGAAACTTCTTTTCTTTCTCCTGTTTTCATGCCACTGAAGCTGTGGAGCAGGGAATATTATAATTTATGTTGAATTTTCTAGTTTCATTTCAGATTTAAAATCTGTCTTAAGAGCAGTTCTATTCTGATTCTAGACAATTACCCAGGCCTAATAAAATAACAACACCTGATTTATATAGCATTTCAGGTTTTATGTAACATTTTCCTCTCAATATCTTTGTGAGTTATATGGTTTACATGTTATAGTCACTTTACAGATGAGGAAATTCAAAGTTCAGTGACTTAAATGACTTACTCATAGTAGGAATACAGCAAGAGCTATAGTATTAAGGCTGCATCTACCAAATGAAAAACATTTTCTTTTCCTTAGATTTGGACAACCCTTTGTGCTACACTTAGAGAAGACAATAGCATGGGATCTCTTGCAGAAGGAGATTTTGGAGAAGATGCAGTATTTTTTGAGACCCACAGTTTGCATCCAAGTGAGTAAAACATTCCAGTTTCCACATCTTTGTATACTTAGTAAAGAAACTGAGTTATTAAAAGTGACTTTGAAATTCCAAATTCTTGGAAATGGAAACTAGGCTCCAGTGTTGAGAAGAGCTGATGAAATATAACTTAACTAAGTTGGATCTGTTCAGCTTTTCAGTGCTTCCTGGGTTGTATCTTTCCTACTAAAGGAATTGGCCACTGAAGGATTTCCCTTGACTTGCCAGACATTTTATTATAACACTTTTCTAATGTAAAATATATCATAAACCTTAAAATACTATAATAATATGAGCCATTATTAATGAAGTTCAACACTTAGAAAACTTGAGGAAATCTTGGTTGAACTTTCATATCTTACCCTAACAGACTTTAAATATCAGTAATTCTTTGCTTAAAAACAAACAGAAAACCCCAACAACAACCCCAATAACTTACTTCAATTTTGACCTCCTAATCTTAAAAAAAGAAAATGAAAAAATGAAAAAAAATGAAAAAAAAGAAAATGAGCTTAAAACGATGTACGAGAGTACTTTGCTTTATGTAAATGATATTTATTAAATTTTTAGCAAATGAACTTGCATTTACAATAGGTGAAGATTATTTTAGTAAATTGGATTGTCCTCAAAGTACTTGAGAGGAATTTACTCCTTTAGTGATTCCTTGACAAAGTAACCTTTTATCCATTCTGTAAATTTGATTATATTAAATTATTGCAGGGGATACACTTGTGCTAGGCATCCTACCTAACCTAACTCTTATGTTCAAAATAGGTGTGTCCATTTAGTTTGCGCGTTGTCAGTGTTGTGGGAATAACATACTTGCTACCACAAGAGGAGCAACCCCTGTGCCACCCAACCGTGGAAAGGTAAAACCACGTCATTCCTGACCTCATCGGCCGACTGAGCTTTTCACATGTCTGTGTACCAGGGATTAGAGGGATATCTACTAGACATTCCTCATTAGTGTTAGGTTCTCTAGCTCCACACTGAAATTGAAGTTTTCTTAGCTTACACAGCACATTGCTGGAATGAGAATGAGAGTCATTTGACATTTCTCTATTAATTTCATGGTTGTTTTGTTCTTTATATTTTGGTAAATAACAGTAATAACAGCATATCTATGGATCATAGATTTTGAGCTTGCATTAGTTATGTATTCATTTATTAGGTGCCTTCTGTGTGCCAGGCACTGTGCTAAGTGCTGGATATATAAAAGGAAGCAAAAGACAAACCTTGCCCTCAGGGAGTTTATGTTAGTGTAAATGGGGTAGATACCATGCAAACAAATATATACAGAGCAAGCTACATACAGGATAGAAAAACCACGTACACACACATACATATATATGTAATATATATTAAGTAAGTGGGTAGAGGGGGAGACTAGTTCAGTTAAAGTTTCATGTAGGAGGTGATGTTTAAGCTTACCTTTGGAGGGAGTGTTTTTTTTTTTTTTAGTTTTAGGCAATTGGGGTTAAGTGACTTGCCCAGGGTCACACAGCCAGTAAGTGTCAAGTGTTTGCTCTGAGACCAGATTTGAACTCAGGATCTCCTGACTTCAGGGCCTGTGCTCTATCCATTGCGCCACCTGGCTGCCCCTAGGGAGTGGGGTATTCTAAGAGACAGAAGTGAAGAATGAGTGAATTTTGTGCATGAGGGACAACATTGGCAGAGGTATGGCTGGAGATAAGAGATAGGAATGACATGTTTTCTTGAGGCGAGTTAAGCTGGAACATGGAATAGATGAAGGGGAGTAGTGTGCAAGAAATCTGGAAAATTAGTCAGATGGGTTGGAGTCAGATTGTGCAGGTCTCTGAGTGCCAAATAAAGGAGGTTGTGTTTTATCCCAGAAGCAATCGGGGAGCCAACTGGAACTTTTTGAGCAGGTAGGTTTCACAGTTAGACCTGTTCTTCCTAAAGATATTCAGAAATATCACTCTGGCAGTGAGAAGGGACCTTGTAAGTCACCTAATTCAACCTCCTAATTTTAAGAATGAAAAAACTGAGATGATGAATGACTTTTTTAGGGTCATATTGGTAGTTAAATGGCAGAGCTAAAATTTGAACTAACTCCAGATCTAACACACTTTGCACTGAACCAGGGTGCTTACTGTGATAATTTTATAAAGATTTGAGTCACTGATCTCACTGTATACAAAATGCCCTTATAGTTAGATAAAGACATAGACAGTTTGAAGAAAAAAAAAAAGGTCCTGGCAGTCTGACATTCTTGTTGATGAAACTGTTACTTGGCTTTTCTTGGGTTCTGTGCTGGAATGAAAAAAAAATAAATTAAAAATTACACCTTCTAAAAATATAGTTTGATGACATAAGTGTCTTTTGTTCTGCTGCCCCTTAAAATAGAATTAATACTCTGTTCTTACTTTTATGCCTTAGGATCTGAGGTAAACACAAAAATAGGATGGAAGAATTTCTGGCAGTGTTGGTACTATGGAATCAGAGAAGGGAAGGGACAAAATTAGTTTAGTTCCTTGTATTTTTTTTAAATAAAAATTAAATTTTATTTTATTTTCAGATCTGAATTTTCTCCCTCCCACCTCCCTCACCCTCTTGAGAAACCTAGAAAAACAAAACCTTTGTTACGAACATGTAGCGTCAAAGGCAAAACAAATTACTGCTTTGGACACATCCTTCCCACCCCCAAATATGACTCAGTCTGTACTTTGTATTCATCACCTCTCTATCAGGAGGTGGGTAGCATGTTTCATCTTGCATCCTCTGAAATTGTCATTGCTTATTGTGTTGACTAGAGTTCCTAAGTTTTTCAAAGTTGTTTGTCTTTACAATATTGCTATTATTGTGTAAATTGTTCTGCTAGCTATGTAAGCCTTACTTCACTCTGCATCAATTCCTGCAAATATCAGTTTTCTTTAAAAGCATCCTCTTTATCATTCTTTTCCGGCACAGTGGCATTTCATCACATGCGTATACCATAACTTTTTCAGTCATTCCTCCATTGATGGATGTCTTCTCCATTTCCAATTCTTTGCCACCACAAAAAGAGCCGCTATAAATATTTTTGTACATACGAATCCTTTTCCTTTTTCTTTTATCTTTTTTTGGTTATAGACCTAGTAGTGATATTGTTGTCTGTCTTTCATTCTTGGAGAACCATGGCATCAGGAAGGTGATGCCATGACTTGCAAGTGAGTTGGATTTAAGTGAAGGAGGGCTGTGCAAAGTCACCAACCTCACTCTCTCCTCTAGAACCATCTGGGTCCAATGGCATGATATAGATCAAGACAACTGGAGATGGCCCTTGGATGCAGTGGGAGACTTTGGTTTTTTAAAATAAGGTCTTTCCTAGGTCTCAGTTTGAGGCAATTGAGTGATTAAGGCTAGGTGAGAAATGAGGCAAAGAATGGCCTCTTTTACCTAGTCAAAAAAATAAAATAAAAAATCAACCAGGAAGGGGAAGACCCTTAGGCTTTCTAGCCAAAACAGAAACAATTGCTATTTGCTTTCAATTTGAGCCAATTCAGGCCCAAACAATGACTACAAATGGGGCTTGGACTGGGAACTATTGTTGGCCAATCAATGACAGCCAGAGTGAATTGAGGTTAAGGCATGGTCCTTAAGAAAGAAATCTAGCCCATACATTCCAAGATATCTTTTGAGGTTTCAGTGACCCAAAAGCACCTGAAGATAAGGGTATGTACCCTATGTGGACAAAGGGAAAGGAGAGGAGAAGACGGAATAGGAAGGGAGAGAAGGGGAGGAAAGGGAGGGGAGAGGAGGAAAAGGAAGGGAGGGGATAGCCACCAGCTTTATTTTCTCCTCCAGAGCCATTTGGGTCTAATGGCAAGATATAAATCAGGATGACTGGAGATGTCCCCCCCTAGTAGTGATATCACTGGATCAAAGGGTATGCACAATAAAAGCTTTTGAGGCATTGTTCCAAATTGCTTTCCAAAATGTCTGAACAGTTCCTTATAATCCTATGATAATAGGTTTATAAAAAATAGTTCCTAGAGAAGCAATAATAGAATATACCTTCCTTATCTCAGCAGAGGGGTGAGGAACTACTAGGGCAGAATACTGTATACATTGTCAGATATGATCACTGTATTGAATGCTTTTGTTAAACTTTTTCTTTGTTACAATGGAGGGTTAAATTTGGAGGAAGCTGGAGGGGACATATTTCTGAAATAGACTGATATAAAAACAAAGGGCATCAATAATCAATTAAATCAATAATAAATCAATTAAAAATAAATAGAAAAGATGGAAAATAGTGTCACTATGAGTACACGTATCCCTTGTTCTTCCTGACTTCTCTGCTGTATTTGACACTGTTCACCTTCCCTTCCTGGATACTTTTTCCTCTTTAGTTTTTGTGACACTGCTCTCTTCTGATTCTCCTCCTATTTTTCTGACAATTCCATCTCAGTCTTTGCTGGTTCCTCATCCATGTCATGTCCATGAACACTGGCTATCATCTTCTTCTCTTTTCTGTCTATACCACTTTACTTCATGAGCCATCAACTTCTATAAGTTCAATTGTCATTTCTATGCTGATGATTTCCAGATACATATATCTGTATCTATATGTGTATATATATTTTTTGAGTAATTTTTCAGTTGTGTCTGACTCTTCATGACCCCATTTGGGGTTTTCTTGGCAAAGATACTAGAGTAGTGTGCTATTTCCTTCTCCAGCTCATTTTACAGATGAGGAACTGAGACAAACAGGGTTAAGTGATTTGCCCAAGGTCACATAGCCAATAAGCGTCTGAGGCCAGATTTCAACTCAGGAAGGTGAGTCTTCCTGACATCAGGCCTGTGCTCTATCTACTGTGCTACATCAGCATCTATAACTGTATCTGTAGGTCTACATACATATATACATACATGCATACATATGTATATACATACACATACGTATATTCCACTTCATATAATCTCTTCTTAGCATCTTTCGCTTCCTTTAAGAATTAATTCACACCACACCTTCTGTAGGCCTTTCCTGGTTCCTTCCACCTCTGATTGCTAATGCCTTTCCCTCTGAGATTACCTTCTGTAATATCAGTTTGTACACAATTATTTACATGTTGTTTTCCCATGAGCTCCTTGAGGGCAGAGACTGTTTTTACCTTCCCTTTATATTCCCATAGCTAAGCATAGTGCTTGGCATATAGTAAGAATTTAATAAATGCTTTTTGACTGGCTGGCTAAAGTGAATTTACATAGTCTAACCTTCATTTTCCTGTTAACATCTAATATAAAAATCAAGAAGTGTGTTATGGGGAAAAAAATCCTCCTATAAAGTGGGTTGAAAATATTTAGCAGATTAGAATTTAAGAATTATGTGCAGATCATTATAGTATGACAATAGTATTCCATCTGTTGAGAGTGGTTTTTTTTTTAATCTTAGATTCAAAGAATGTGTTATGCCCTTCTACATACAAGTCACTGCCCTGGGTGTTGGGCAAGCAAAGAAGTGTAAGATCCACAATACATGCCCTTAAGAAACTCCCAGTTAAGATGGAGAGACTAGACTTCTGTAAAGATAATCAACAATAAAAGGCAGTATATGATAACTAACTGTTGAGTGGTACAGAAAGTAATGGTAAGGGGAGAGATTCAAGTAGATTAGAGTTGTTTGGAAAGGGTTTACACACATTTTAAGGACCCTCCAGGTCTGCACACATGGATATTTCTGCTCCTACCAACTCAGGCTACCAACCTACAGGGTTGGAAGGCACCTAAGAAATCTTCTCATCCAGCCTCTACCTGGACAGGAATCCTCTTTACAAAATCCCTGACAAGTGGCCTATTTGATTTCTACTTTATAAACTTTAGTGATGGGTATCCAGTCCACTTTTGGACAACACAAGTGTTGGGA